CAGATTTTTAAAATAATGTTCCCTCCAGCAGGCAAACTAAAACTTTCTCACTGCATCCCGTAGGAGAGAGGGCACAGCGTGGAAGTTTTAGTTTTCCTGCTGTTTAGTAGACTTTTATCAAAATGAGAGACCCAAAGAGAGCCATAGGCAGGTGGAGCAATTAGTGTGTACCGCTGTCAGAGCAGATCCAATGATACAGAGGAGGGCGGGGTGGTGGACGGATCCCTGTGTGCACCAGAAGGGGGGCGTGGCACACTGTCAGGCAGGATGGAAGTGTGCGCCCAGATGTGAGGGAGTCAGGCCGGGGGGCTGCCATCGCAGAAGGTGGTCAGGGTGGAGGAAGCTCCCAGCTGTTTGCTGCAGCTGCCACCGTCACCAGATGTCCAAGTGTAGATCTTCTCATGCCTGCCCAAGACACAGCTAATCCTCTTGGTCCTGGTGTGCTGCAAATTCCTCCATTGACATCATCTGGAGGAGGAGCCACAAGACTGGTGAGATCTGAGGGATTAGTAAACCCACGGTGTGTGTGATGAAGGAGGAAGGTATCTGGGGGTGTCTTTGGTTAGTGGTATCTGGGGGGGGTGATCAGACTGGGGTATCTAGGGGGTTGATCAGGGTGGTGGGTATTTGGGGGTGTGATTAGGGTAGGGAATTCTGGAGGATGTGATCACAGTGGAGATGTGATCAGGGTGTGTGTGTGTGGGGGGGGGGGGGAATCTGCAGGGTGTGATTAGAGTGGGGCTATCTAGGGAAGGGTGATCACAGTGGTGGGTATCCATGGGGGTGTAATCATGGTGGGGTTTTTTGGGGAGAAGTGATCTGGGAGTTTATGGGTGGAAATCAGCTTTGGAAGTTTTAGTTTGCCATACCTTCCAACTTCCTGTGGACAGTGGGGGGAAGTAAGGCATGCATGCCCCTGTCCCCCTCATTACACACTGAATTTTAGTGGAAGTTTAGCTCAGTTTTCGATGGTGTGTGACGTCCTTCACGCTGTGCCCCATCACATTATGGGCGCAACGTGAAGGAGATACCATCTCAGCTGTAGACAGTGAGAGGGTGTGGTGGAGGGGAGGAGTGGCAGGGGGGGGGGGTGGAAAAATGCATCTTCACCTGAGTAGACAAAAATGCTTGCACTGGCCCTGGGGGCATTCACCGTTCTTGGTGGACATCATATGACATCTTTCCGGAATGCACTTTGCGCTCACCCCACGGCATGATCCATCACCAATCAGTGTACCGGCTGCTGCCAATACTATGTGATCTTTGTGAGCAATCACAGCAGATCACATGAAAATTGTACACAATGGATGGCTTTCTTTCATGCCATCCATTGTGTAATATTCTGTTGATCTATGTGATTGTCCGAAGTGATCACATGGTACAGACAGGGCCAATCACATCTGTACCATGTGATTAGCTGTGGCCACACATTACAGCTAACCACAATAGTAAACACTGAATGAATCAATTTCATTCAGTAAAAATGGTTACTTACACCAGTGAAATTCACCAGTGCAGTACAACATCATCATAAAGCTGGTGTGGCAGTGATCAGGGACACTGACTGGTGACAGTATGTAAAAATAATAATAGATAATTTTTTAATTTTTTTTCATGTACAGAGACCAGAGCAATACAGTGTACCATAGTCACACTGTACTACTCTGGGGAGGTGATCGGGATTTTTTTTACATGCTATGATTGTTTATAACTGGGAATTTTACAGTTATAAACAACCATTTTTTTCTGAATGAAAACTATTCATTCAGTGTTTACTGTTGTGATTAGCTGTGATTGGCCACAACTAATCACATGGTCCAGTATGGCTGTGATTGGCCCTGTCTGTACCATGTGATCACTGTGACCAATCACAGAGCTCATTACAATAGTACACAATGAAAGGCATGAATCAAAGCTTTTCATTGTGCACAATTGTCATGTGATCTGCTGTGATTGGTCACAGCGATTACATGGTACCAGCAGCGGGCCAGTACAGTGATCTGTCATCATCTTTGTCCGGGGGACACAGCAGGTCACAGATTGTGCCAGAGCACAGCTCATGAGGCATGCATGAGGTGAGATCCTTGGAGGACATCATATGACATCCTCCAGGGATAATAGGGCTCTTGCCTGGCCTATTGTAATATTGGGTAGAACACCACCAAAAGAAAGCTTTATTTGTGTAAAAAAATACAAATTGAATATGGGTACAGAGTTGCATGACCGCGCAATTGTCATTCAAAGTGTGACAGCGGGGAAAACTGAAAATTGGCCTGGGCAGGAAGGGGGTGAAAGTGCCCGGTATGGAAGTGATTAAAGAGAAAATTTACCCCATCCTACATTACAGCCCCAAGACGAGAAAAATAAACACACCAAAGTTCTCTATAGTAAACAGCAAACATGGTTTCTAGAACAATACCATGAACTAGTTCATGTAACTATTTTACAAACTTGATATTAATCTGTATAAATGAATATGTCATAATCTACCTCATCAAACAAAATTACAGAAAAAAGTTAACCTGCGATTACTTTGAACCACTCCAATGTTTATTAGCTCTCAATATTGGTCTGAAAAAGTGAGAGACTTTGGCATGAACTTCTCATTTTAACATTTTTTTTGTTTTACTGCACAAACAAAACTCACTGCCTGACTCCTGACCATGCTATGCAGTAAACCGTTGGCAGGACATCTTGGAGCAATAAAGCAGTCAGAATGCCTCAGAATAAGGACTTTTGGCTGACGTGAAACAAGATTGCTACTGTGGTTTGGCTACCTTGCTACTGCAAAGGTCACAGTGGAAAAGAAAAAAATATATATATATATATATATATAGTGAACTATGTACAATCATATACACAAAGAGTAAATTATTATAATTATTATACAGGATTTATATAGCGCCACCAGTTTGCTCAGCGCTTTACAATATAACGGGAGACGATACAGCAACAATACAGTTCAATACAAGAGGGTTAGGAGGCTCCTTGGAGCTTACAATCTAAGAGGGAGGGGCTAGTGGTACAAAAGGTAACTGTGGGGGATGGACTGGTAGGAGGAATAGAAGATTCCATTATTAGCTGAGGGCAAGATAGGCTTCCCTGAAGAGATAGGTTTTCAGAGATCGCCTAAAAGTGAGCAGAGTAGGCAATAGAGTTTCAGAGGATGGGGGAAGCTCTGGAGAAGTCCTGGAGTAAATCATAGCTCTTCCTAAATTGCCTCAGCTAACATTACATGTTATACAAATATGTCTTACATATATCATTATGTTGATTTTCTTTTGTTTTTTTTTACAAAGATAAAGCTTATTGAATGTCATCAGTTTTGAAGCTAGCTGTTAAATACTTGCTAGTAAAAAAAACCCAATGCAGTCAATATATAAATCCAGAATAAAGAGAACATTCTTGAAAACCCAACAAAACTTTTAGTTTAAATAAGCAAAATACTTTCCAGTTGCAGCCTAACAAAACAAGCACAATTCACAATGATTTTACACAAGTATAAGATCTTTATTTTAGCCACATGACTGTTATTTTACAATGTCAATGAACTTGGCTGAAATTACCTCTTACTTTAGCAAAATAGATTTCCTTACTATATTGTTGTAGCTTTGTGAATTTTGCCTAGTTTGTTTAAAGCCCTTCATGCTTCCTGCTGTTTGCAGAGCCCTCGCTAAAATTTAGCAGGGGTGTGTCAGACTGCTGCAAAGAGACCACTGCTTCCACATAAAGAGCAAATAAGGTCTTTCTCTGCTGAATGGTGGCAGGGGAATGCTTTTCAACACAGACTACTTCCCTAAAAAAAGCATTGAATACCCTTTGTCAACTGCTACTCTAAAGTGCAAGTAAGCACAGCATACTGTACATATTATATTTTGAAATCATTAATAAAATTCCTACTTAAAGCGGAGTTCCACCCAAAAATGGAAGTTCCGCTTTAAGTCTTTGTCCTCCACTCCCCATTAAGGATTTGGGGAGCGGAGGGGGGGGTACACGAATTTTACAGGTACCCGCTCCCACTTCTCCTGCGATCGCCTAAGGCAATCGGAAGCGGAAGTTGTCCTCCCCCCTCCCCCATAGTCTTCTGGGACACATGACAGGTCCCAGAAGACTATGGGGCCATTCACAGAGCGCAGTGCTTCTCGTGCATGTGCAGTGGGCACCCGGCTGTGAAGCCACAAGCTGTCACAGCTGGGTACCCACACTGAAGTTGCCGGCACCAGGGAGAGAAGACGGCCAGTGAAACCAGCAGTGGTGAGGACACTGCTGGACCGAGAGACAGGTAAGTGTCTGTATTTTAAAAGTCTGCAGTTACAGTTTTTGTAGCTGCTGACTTTTTTTTTTCAGCTGGAACTCCGCTTTAAAGAATAAATGTATAACTAAAGGAAAAACTTATTTTAGTTTTGGATAGAATGGAAATGGATTAGAACACCTATTATGTTTTTATTGCTGTCTGTGCCCCTATTTGGTCCCATTCACACCTGAGCGTTTTGTAGTGCGAAGCTCAAAGCTCCAAAATGCTTAGGGGGACAAAAAATCAATACTACTCTATGGAGATTGTTCACATCTCCACTCCGAGTCGCCTGAAGCAGAATGCCTGAAGCTCAAAAAAATTTTGGAAGTATTTTTGTAGCTCAAATTGGGCAGATTTGCACGTTTTTTGCATTCTTATTATTTGCGTGTTTTTGCACAATTTTCTGCTTAAATGAAAAAATGTAAAAGAAAAAAGTAATAATATAGGAATAAATAAATGTAAACTAAATTAAATAAATATACATATAAATAAAAAAATCATTATAAATAAATCATAAATAAATAATAATTAACCCCTAACCTTAAAAAAAAATTAACCATATGACGTCCTCCCATTCTAACCACGCATGAGCGGATCCGGAGCGCGCAGCGCGGCAATCAGCGGTCCGCTGTGTCCCTCGGACTCAGCGGATCACCGATCCACGGAAAAAGCCGAAGATGTCGGCTCAGTCATGTGATCAGCTATGTCCAATCACAGCTGATCACATGTAAACAGGGAAATGTCGGTTATCTGCATTTCTCTCCTCTCGAGCTGTCACACTGACAGCTCAAGAGGAGAGGAGAGCCGGTAATCGGCATTCCGCGGAGGGGACATGTACACTGATCATCAGAACACTGATGATCAGTGTGCCCTGATGATCAGTGTAGCCCCAGCAGTGCCACCTGTCAGTGTCCATCAGTGCCAGCTGTCAGTGCTCATCAGTGCCACGTGCCAGTGCCACATCAATGCCACATATCAGTGCCTACCAGTGCACATCAATGCCACATATCAGTGCCCATCTGAGCTGCCTTTCAACGTCACCCATCAGTGCCAGTCAGTGCCACCTATCAATGCCAGTCAGTGCTGCCTATCAGTGCCCATATGTGCCGCCTATCAGTGCCAGTCAGAGCCGCCTAACAATGCCAGTCAGTGCCACCTAACAGTGCCAGTCAGTGCCACCTATCAGTGCCAGTCAGTGCCACCTATCAGTGCCATATATCAGTGCTGCCTTTCAGTGCCCATCAGTGATACCTGTCAATGCCCATCAGTGCCACCTACCAGTGCCTCCTCATCAGTGCCCATCAGTGTCACCTATCAGTGCCCATCACTGCAGCCTCATTAGCGCACATCAGTGAAGTAGAAAAATCCCTTATTTACAAAATTTTATAACAAAAACTAAAGAAAAAACGTTTTTTTCCCCAAAATTTTCTGTGGTTTTTGGTTTGTTTAAGAAAAAATAAAAATCCCATAGTTGATTAAATACCACCAAAATAAAGCTCTATCTTTCACAAAAAAAAATGGTAAAAATTTCATATGGGTACAGTGTTGCATGACCGCATAATTGTCATTCAAAGTGCAACAGCACTGAAAGCTGGAAATTGGCCTGGGCAGGAAGGGGATATAAGTGCCCTGTAGGCTTGTGGTTAAATAAATTATTATTAATATTATTATTATTATTATTATTATTATTATTAATAATAATAATAATAATAATAATAATATAAATAATAATAATAAAAACACTCAAACAAAAACATACAATAATAATAACTATAATAATAAAAAAAAAATGATTATTTTATTACTTTTTTAGGTTTTAGGGGGATAAGGTTATGAGTTAATTATAATTAATTTATTATTACAAGTATTTATTTATGATTATTTTCATGTACTTGTGTATTTATTTTAAATGTATTATTATTATTATTAATAATAATAATATCACCCTAACCCAGGGGTGGGCAAACTTTTTGACTTGAGGGCCGCAATGGGTTCATATATTGGACCCGGGGGCCGGACCAAGAGTAGATGAATGATGTGTATGTGTCATCCATAGTAAGTATAGTAATATTCCCCCATAGTAAGCATAGTAATTAATCCCCCATATAGTAATTCATCCCCCATAGTAATTCATCCCCCATATAGTAATTCATCCCCCATATAGTAATTCACCCCCCATATAGTAATTCATCCTCCATATTAATTCATCCCCCATATAGTAATTCATCCCCCATATAGTAATTCATCCCCCATAGTAATTCATCCCCCATAGTAATTCATCCCCCATATAGTAATTCATCCCCCATATAGTAATTCATCCCCCATAGTAATTCATCCCCCATATAGTAATTCATCCCCCATAGTAATTCATCCCCCATATAGTAATTCATCCCCCATAGTAATTCATCCCCCATATAGTAATTCATCCCCCATAGTAATTCATCCCCCATATAGTAATTCATCCCCCATAGTAATTCATCCCCCATATAGTAATTCATCCCCCATAGTAATTCATCCCCCATATAGTAATTCATCCCCCATAGTAATTCATCCTACATAGTAATTCATCCCCCATATAGTAATTCATCCCCCCTATAGTAATTCATCCCCCATATTAATTCATCCCTCATATATTATTTCATCCCCCACAGTACTGTTCCCCCCCAAGTAGTAAGCCAAGTCCCCCCTGTGTCAATTCACTTACCTTTGCTCCGCGTGTTCCTCTTGCCGTGTTCCCGCACCGTTCCGGTCCCCTCATGTTCCTCACGCTGCCCCGCCTACACACATTCTGACAGCCGATGTTTGCCATGCTCCGCGGGCCGGATTAAAAGGTCCGCCGGGCCGTAGTTTGCCCATTGCTGCCCTAACCCTAACAAAAAATAAATAAATAAATACAATACTATAAATAAATAAAGAAAATACTAACCCAAATCCTACCCCCTAATCCTAACCCTAACCCTAACCTAACCTTAACTCTAAACCCTTAATCTAACAAAAAACAAAATAATAATAATAAATTAATATTAATACTATTAAAAGCTGATGGAAAAACTAAAAAAACTGAAAAACCTAGCAATAAATGATGCAATAGATGATATTTTCCTCTATTGGCTAGTAAAAAAATGCCAAAGATCAAAAACGGCTAAAAATGTTGTATAAAAACGCGCAAAAAAATTTGCTTGTCCTGTTTACCATGATCAATGAAAGTGAACTTAAAGCAAACCCCAAATTTTGGGTTGTCGGTAATAGAGGGGAAATTGTCCAATGGGAACAGTAGTTCTGGTGACCTGGGGGTCCCCATGGAATTGCCTTAATTTGCAGGGATTATCTCTCACTGTCTGTTTTGGCTATGGGACATCTCCCCAACAGGACACAGACAGCAAAAAATAAATTGACAGGGGTTATAACCCTCTTTTACTCCAAAATGCAAAAAAAAGGTTTTGCCTATAGTTCTAATTTCATGTGATAAATTATGTTCTAGTTTCTGAGTGCATTGTGTTTTCCAGTCCATAAGATTCATCAAACACATATCATGAACATAGCATGGTCTGCCTTACCTATTAGTCCTTTTGACGGGTTTTTCTACAGCCAGTAAACCCCCCAGCATATCCTGTGTGTCCATGCACACATAGACTGTACTCAACATTTTTTGGCAGGGATATATTTTTTTTGGCTGGAAAAAAAACCCAAGACTAGTGGGCTTCTCGAGGAGTTTATTAGCTGTAAAAATGCTCTAATGCTGAAAAATACGGCAAAACGCGGTAAAATGCCACAAACCGGCATTTTTGTACTTTTTTTGACCGAAAAAAAATTTCTTTTCTTTGGTAAAAAAAAAAAATTCAAAACGCAAACACAGAAAAACATGGGAAAACGTCACTAATCGTGGCAAAATGCTGCTAAACACTAATAAAAGATGCTAAAAAAAGCTGAAAAACTCAAGTTTTTAACGTGACTTTACACAGCTAATGTTACCAGCGTTATCAAAACGCTCAGTGTGCAAGGAGCCTTAGATTACAGGGTTTACAAAGTTGTAAAATCCACTTGTAATTGTGAAGGTCATTTCTTAATGCATTTCCCAGATAGACTCTGTTTCATCAGGAGATAGGGGAGGGAGCATTGTCCTAAAAATAAATCAGATTCCAATCAACATGTGCTTAAAGGTACAGTATATAAAGTACTTCCTCAAATGACAATCTACCTGCATGCAAAATAGTGCAGCGCCAAAATTAATATTAAATAAATATAATTAAAATAAATGTCCTAAATGTGGGATAAACCGTACATGCGTGACAGTCTATGTAGTATAAAAAAACACACAGAATCTTCAATTCAGTGGTGGTGCTCCTAGTGGTAAAGTAAGAATTGCGCACTCACCAGAGGCGTAATAAAATTACGCGGTGTATATGTCAGCAAAGATCCCCTTCACAGGTCTGGGTCCAGGCTGGAACATGAGATGATTCCCCTCCAGGAACATAGATAAGAGCCCTCATGGGATGTAAATGTATCCAGCGAGCCAGAGGTCCCTTTAAGGGATAGGTGAGTATGGATGCCTGTGTGTACAGGTACTTCCCTCTCTTGATGGATGGACAGGAGACTGGATCACAGCAAGGCTCTAAAATGATAAAGCTTCTGTCCATCCATCCAGAGACGGAAGTACCTGTACACCAGTACGCCTGGACCTAGACCTGTGAAGGGGATCTTTGCTGACATATACACCGCGTAATTTTATTACGCCTCTGGTGAGTGCGCAATTCATACTTTACCACTAGGAGCACCACCACTGGATTGAATATTCTGTGTGTCTTTTATACTACATAGACTGTCACGCATGTACGGTTTAACCCACATTTAGGACATTTATTTTAATTATATTTATTTCATATTAATTTTAGCGTTGCACTATTTTTGTATACTTGAGAGGTTTTGTTTGGTTTCCTTTGTGTGTTCAGCTGCTTATTTAAGAGCGCTCACTTTTATTACTATTTGCTGTAATCTACCTGCATGACTTTGCTTAGAAAAGCAGCACCGACACATGGCCCCAGACACTTTCAATGGATCAGTATCCTCTATTAGGTGTGAACACAAGACCACAATTTTCTACAAACGTATATAAACATTCCCTGATAACAGAAGAAGTTCTTGCCTGCAGTCTGTCTAGAATTAAAAATTATAGTTTTTTTCACAGCATTAGCATGCATTATGTTTAAAATGCATTTGATTGCATTAGTCCAAGTTGTACACCTTTGTACATTAATGTACTTTTATGTACATTAACAAATATTTTTTATATTATGCGTAGCAAAGCATACACTGATCATACATAGCAGAGAGGTCAGCAACCACAACTCAAAATAAAGTGAAGATTGTTATAAGATGATCATTTTCTATAAAGCTACTAGGACAGATTAGACATTTAATTTTTGGGTGCAGAGTATGCGACAAAGTATTTTGGCGCCTACATTTTTGGGGTTAATCTTACGTTGTTATTAGCATGATAGTTCAGTTTGTATGTACATTGATAGCAGGGTTACGCTTAAAGGGAAACTGTGATCAGAATGTGGACATTCAATAATTTACATATTATTAACTGTCAGTAAATTACCTGTTAAACAAGCCCTCAATGATTTTTGTAGCTGCAAGTACAATGGAGTAGTTCATCCTTACAGCAGTAGTACTGAAGTCATTTAAGTCCTGCTCTTAGCAGCTCAGCTCATTCTGCTCCATCCTCCCAGCCATGAACCAGCAGTCTTCCAGCCTTCTAATCTCTATTATAATCACAAAGCAGTTGCTCTGGGAGGGGGTTTAGAGTTATTGGTGAACCTTGAGGATTAATTGCTCCACGGTGCCTGCAGCAGTAAAGGCTTGTTTTAGATGTCATTTACTGCTTTTCCAAATATGTAAATACATGAATGTCCAAATAATGTTGTGCATTTTTTCCAGTAACTTACTTCATGTCCTAGGGTAGTATATCTCACTCTCACTCACTGTACATGCTCACTCACTGTAGTATATCTATGGTGCAGCAGCATTGTCATCCTAAAACAGGAAGTATGTTGGGACTATAAAATATCTTCCCCTCTCCTCATCTCCATAGCATGAAGGAAGTCAGGGGCAGACTGGGAAGGGGGTCAGAGGGGCAAT